TACGTATGATGAAGAGCATAGCGATAAGCCGTATTATACAGAATTGTTTGTGTGCCAATCATACTTGTTCTGGATGGTGGTTTGGCGATGTATTTGTAGGAAACCTTAGAGTTGATGCCGCTACCGACTACTACAACGGGCCCTCTGGCATTGAGCTGGATGGACTCAAAGCCGGTAAATATGCTCGCTTCAGGCTGCAGCATACATCCTGCCAGCATTTTGCGATTGGGAAAAGATGGCACACAAGCACGGTGCCCTGCCCACAGCTGGTTGTGGACTACACCCGCGGCATGGGTGGTGTGGACGTCCACGACCAGCTGCGGCTCCAGCACAGCAGTATTCAGGAGTGTGTTTTGCTCTGAAAATACTACAATCGGTTGTTCCTGTGCATTATCGACATGGCCGTGGTCAATGGATACATCGTTCACTTTTTGACACCTAAGACAAAAGGAGAAAGAACACCTACCCATGCCGAGTACTTGCGCCGTTTGCACACGCAGATTCTTGCACTGCAAACAATTATTTTCGAGACTCATCCCAACGCTGAGGACCTGGTGTCCGTACCTATACAACGCCAGCAGCACACATTAGTGAATAACGACGTCTTCTACTCCTAGCAGCACAAACGCAGGCAGTGCCTTTGCAAAGTTTGCTCCGCTTTTGCGAACCCAAACACCAAGTCATTCGAGACTAGCTTTTACTGCTCGCAGTTTAGCGAGGTGTTTGGAGGTCGAGTACCTCTATGCCGACACGTTAGACGCGTCGACAGCGGAAACACGCTGATATGCTCGCAAATTTGGCATGACACGTGAAGCGAAGGGAAGAGCATTTCACCTAGCCTGAAGAAGAAGATACGATTTCGTAAGCGTAAGAGAGGGGGCGACGAGGAAGAAGAGTAAGCTTAGAAATGGGTAGTTGTAAAAACAAGCAAATTTACCTAATCTTACGCGCAGAGAAGAGTTTGCCCTGTTCCTCCTCACTAATCCGTTAGTTAGGAACTGGGCAAATTCTTTCTCTGCGCGCACTTCGTATTCGGTTGGCGCCGAGAATGGATGGCTGTTGACGGACTTTTGAGTGTGTCCAGGAGCAGTAACGAAAATGCCAGGTATTGATGGGACGCAGGTATTTGCCGTTCTTTGTACTGCTGTGAGCCAATAGAAGCTCGCGATCCTCGCAGATGCTGTCACACTGTGGACATTATGTTCCGTGGCGCAATGTCTTTGTGCTAAATGTGTCCGGTTCTTGGTCAGTAGGAGCGAAGGGGGTTGCAGCAGGATAATTTTGGGAGGTTTCGACTGTATAATTAATTCAAGTATAAATCCTTACTCTGTAGGATACAGAATAAAAGCTCGGGCTAGAAGGGTTAACGAGTACTTTTGCATAGCGGTACGGTTCTTCATTGTTTACGTGGATCTCATCCATTGCGACATACGTTGTTGCAGCTAGAATTTCTTTTCAGTTGTCGTCGCCATCGATTCGGGGGGGGGGGGGGGTGCCAACTTGGCACACATTAAGAAGCATGTATTGTTGCGCCTCCGCTGCCAGGGTGTGGCGTGGCGGGTTAAGCGCGATTAGGAAATTCTGAAACTAACTACGGCCGCTCGCTCCTACGTTGGTTTCATCTTTTGCTACCTCAACTCAAAAGCTATTTTCACCCGTTGCTTGAAAATTCCCATTTCAGTTGTCGTCGCCATCGATTCGGGGGGGGGGGGCTGTGCCAACTTGGCACACATTAAGAAGCATGTATTGTTGCGCCTCCGCTGCCAGGGTGTGGCGTGGAGGATGCCCCAAAGCTCGCTACAAGGCAGGCTCCTTCATCATGTCTTTTGCCATTCGCGATGTTAGCCGTCCCCCAATGCGGGTATAACGCTCCACAGCGTCAGACTTCCACCTTCCAAATAACTTGACCGCCAAACTATCAAATCCAGCATTAAAGAGTGCGGTTGCACCTCCACTGCGCAGTGAGTGAGACCCAAAATTTTCTGGATTGTAACCCGCCTGGCTTGCAGCGCATTTGAGCGCCTTTACGACATCTTTGACTTGCATATTTGTAGCCACATTAATCTTGCACAATAGAGTATTTTCTGCAGCACCGAGTGACTTGTGATGCCGAACAAGATTCCATGCTGCTAAAACTGGACAGCACCATTGATACCCTGAACGCTCCAGTCTACGACTGCTTCCATCGCCAAACTGGTCGGACTTACCTCCGCGGAATGTAATCACTACTGCCACCACCTCGTGTAGATTATCAGTCGGTCTCTCGTCGGAATCCACAAATGAAATATCTGACCGCTGTATTGCATACGGCAACACTTTTGCTCCTTGGGCTAAATACTCCGATCTTCTGAGAAGAAAGAAGAAGCCCAGCACCGAAGCCGCCCAAATGATTCGGTGCTGGGCGGACTTGAAATCGAGGAGCCCGTGGTGTTTCTTGAGGATATCGGTTGTGACAGGAGATTTGGATTACGAGCTTTGTCCTTCCTCCGCATGCCAGTGATTGCAAGTTGGTGTCCTGGTAAGAGTGCGACGCTGAAACCGAGCATCCGTCGATGATGCCACGAGATATGGCTAATTTTTGAGAGTACGGTGCCGGCAGAATTCCCTGATCCTGTGTGTCCCCATCCATAGTTCCAGCAGTGAATAGCGAATAAGGCGAGTTGGTAAAAATGTTTTCGTGGGCTTTCGGGTAGCCATCTCGGGAAGTTAAGCAACTTGCACCATTTACACCATTGTCGCCATGTACTGTTGTACTGCGATGCCGACGACGCGGCCAATGAACAGGATTGAAGCTGTTCGAGAAGTTGATGTAGAGGCTTCTGCATTGCAGGGGCACTGTGCTCTGTGTCCAGCCAGAAGAAAAGTTAGTCCATCTGGTTAAATGAGGTTCGATCCAAGCTCGTGAAGCTGCATCCGCCATCCAATTCGTCGATCCTGGGATATGGTCGGCGGATACACGTAAATTAAAGTACACTTCGGCCAGACCAAGCACCTATTAATTTCTTGGCTGAATGAGTTCCGAGAATGCAGCTTGTTGCACCACGCAACAGCGGAAGTATTGTCACTCCAACATTTTATAAGGAGAAGCTTCCCTTTGGCTAATCGACACCATTTCGCACCCCAAGTCCATAACGCAAGAGCAATACACAAATGCTCACGGACATTGATAGAAAATCCAGATTTGTGTAGCTCGTCAATCATTAATAGTTCTTTGTCATCAAA